TTTAAACTAATGGTAATTGAATCAATCAGACAACCACATTGACACAGTTAAGGAAATTAAATGTTTGAACTTTGTGAATTTGTTTTTTTTGAAAAATCATGTTAGCAGACTTACTCCTCATTTAAATTTCACAATGCTGCTAAAAAGAATATGTATGAATAAATAAGATACTACATGGTAACTTAAATAATATATTTTCTACTTAAAAGTAACACTTGCGAGCTTTTGAAGCTTTTTTTCATCATTTTTACATTGAGATGACCTAACGATTGTAAGAGAATATATAATAAGTATGATATTACATTTAATAAAAATAAAAGATTTTAATTTTAAAAAATAATTTTCATGTATATATCTCCTTTTCAATTCAATTACAATTGCCGTAAGAGTTTTTCACTGTCAAGTTAACCCATATTTCACACCCCAACATTAAATATCAATAAAAATTTAACTCCTAATTTTTTGTTTGTTAAAAAAAGTTGAGCATGCTCCGCGTGCCATCAAAGTCAAAGTATTGTATTGTGACTCCAAACCATCTAATTATATTCATTGACCAAAACAAAGAAGGGAAGTCTATCTCCCTAGAAACACAACTCTTACAACATCACGAGTTTTTTGGCCAATCTTACAAAGTCACAATCCACAGCTTAGATATTCATTACAAATTTATATATTAAAACTTTTATAACTTATTCCCTCTATTTTAAATTATAAAATATTTTTAAATAAAATTTCACATATTAATAAATCTTATTAAATATACTTAATAATGTTATTATTTTTAAAATAAAAATATAAAATTTTAAAAATATGTTTCATTTAATAATCTTAAATATATACTTAATTGATATTAAATAGAAAGAGAAAAAAAGATAATATTAAACTAAATTATTTAATAAATTTTAATTTTTTTAAGATGTTTTATATTTTAAGATAACACATCTCTTTTAAAATATCCCATAATTTGAGATGAAAGAAATACTATATAAAATTAGTTTAAAATATTTTTTAAAAAATTATTAAAGTATGACATGAACTCTAATCTATATTTCAATTATGTGATATATTGTGAATAATCGAGTTCTTTGAAGCATAAATAAGTAGAGTTTTTAGAAATGAACGAGGGCCAATAATTAAACTAAGTTCGCATGAGCCTATTTTCTTGGTACCCGTTCGTCAAACCCAGTGGTCCCCACTCCTCCATCACGCGTGCTCTCATCCAACGGTCACCATCACACCCGCGATACACGGAAGGGCATTTGCAGAGATGTACCCTTATCCCATCCAACGGTTCACATCGACCGGCTTTGACTCCTCTCTCTCTCTCTCTCTCTCTCTCCTCTCTGTGTCTGTCTTAATCTGGCAGCACGCATCCCTATAACCACCATGAAAAAAGTTATTTGCATCGGCATGAACTTCTCTCTCACTCTGTGTTGCTTTCCTTTCTCTCTCTAGAGCGTCTTCTTTCAGTAAAAAATCTTGTGGAATTTAAGTGTATCTGATCTTTCCTTAGCTTGGGTTTCTGCCTGATCTTCCTCACCATCAGAAAGTTTGTGTCTGTGACTCAGTTTATTTCCCAGTTGCTTATTAAAATTCGTTCCAATTTATGAATCATTGAAAGCAATTGTTGTTACTGTTGCATGCTGGGAATTTTCAAGCTATGAAGATCAAAGCTTGTTTCGAAGTTTTTTCCTGCATAATTTGTTTTTCAGAGGACTTAATCTTCTGTATGGGAAAGTCGCAGCATTTAGTGGTGACTAGGGTTTTTAATCTGAATTTGTTAACTGATATGGTGTCGGGTCAAATTTATAAGCAAAATGTTTGGACTTGCCTCTATACTGGGTGAGGATATTGTTTAACATTAAGGGGTTTGAATTTCACATCACGAGCGCTGTGTTCGAGATTGCGTTTAACTTGTTGGGGAGGGCTTTGTTTTTCTGACTTATAATGCCTGCTGATTCTATTCTGAGATGATCATTGTACTTCTTCTTCTTTTTTAAACTTCATTTTCTCGAAACTAATATTGGGTGTGAAGTACATTTCATTTATTTGTTCTCCGTAGTAGTGGTTTTTGTATTTTGATCAAGCCTTCTGTTTACTTCCAGGAGAAAGGCTTGGTTTTTATTCTGATATTCTGATTGGGTCAAAGATGCCGTGGACATCCTTATTTGTGGATTACAATAGGAACTGCGTTAGCTTGGTGGTATTCTTTCACGTGATTCAGTAATTTAATTAATTCAGGTCAGAAGTATGCCCCCCTTATTTGCTGCTGTAGTAATGTTCACCATTAGTTTTGCTTATCACTTGGTTTGTCTCCAATTATATATTCAAAAGGTAAACTTAACCAGAGTGGATTCTATGGCCTTGAATATTTAGAACTATTTTTTTATGCCTATTGTTTGAAATTTGGAATCACAAAACTTGTTCCCATTTGATGGAAACATTCTGTGGATCCTTTGGCCTGTTAGGACAAAATTTATGAAACAATGGAGGCTTGTTTCATACAGTCTGCCCATTACGTGGAGCCTTATGTCTTCTTCCTATGTTGCGTATTGTTTTCTCATCACCTCTGAATCCTTATATGGTTTCTTTCTTCTGTAGCAAAGTCTCATTAGATCTTCTTAGCGTTTTTTTCTTTATTAAAATTGTGGGGGAGGATTGAGAATGTTCGTTGCAATAACAACAAAGAGAATCCAAGCTGTGACAGAAGTTGGGCAGATTAAAATGAATGTTGGATTCGCTGCACACTACCAACTAACGCAAGTTTGCCAGGTGAATAATTCTTCCACTTCCTTTTATTGGGTTTCCGGGTGGGATGGATTTTTGCAAAGTTTGTGTAGCAGATGACATTTTTTATAACAGAATTTGTGTAAGACTGGAAAAGTATGTTGTGAGGAAGAGACTTCATATTTTGAAATCTTTGAAGGATAAGCGAGCTTGGATATCTCTCGTTGTTATAGTGGCTTTAGAAAGTAACATGTGGTGTTTGGACAAGGTTCTGAAATATATAACTTCATGTCGAGCTTAAGTTTTCTGGTTGTGTAAATTGAATTGCTGTTAGTTTGAAAACTAAAGTTCAATTCTCAAACCTGCCTAAGAAACTGCACTGGTTTTACTAGTTGTCTCTGCAACAATTTGACTACTTTTTTCTCCTTTTTATTGTTGTATATTGATGTCACATACCCTTTTCTTTTGCAGGCTGAGTATTTCCGTCAGTTGCTAAAACCTATTACGTAGTCTAGAATCAAGTGACGTTGGTTTAGGGAGTATTTTCCTTGTGTTGGCGTCATCTACTGGAAGGCTGCAGAAGAGATAATTAGTGTTGATTGGAGGAAGCAGCCATCTTTTGTTAAAATGCATTCAGCTTAGTGCCTACTTTCTTCCTTTCCTTCCGTTAGGAACTTCCGTCAGCTTTAAGAGAGAATAATTGCCAGTTGCAAAGGCCAAGACAGAATCACTTGCTGGGAGCTTACTGATCAGGAACTGAACTTTGCCATGCAGAATCACGAGTATATTTACCCTGAGAAGTTCGTTCTCCCTTTGGTGCATGAAGCAGTTGACACTTATTTGCATAGTCCTCTTGATGCAGTTTTACCTTCCGGTGCTAGGCAGATAACTCCCTTTGAAAGAGTTGAACTGCAACCCTCTGAGGTTTGCCCAAAGAATTTCATTATCTTTGATCAGACTGATAACCGGAGCAGAATTTTGTTCCATCCTGCAATGGCCAACAAATTTAGTGGCCCTGGCTTGAATGTTCATGCTACCTATAATCGAGACTCTGAGAAAAACGAAGTTAATCCTGTGGAAGGAGAGTTATCATCTCCTTTTGAAGAGGATTCTGAGGACATCAATGCATTGTTGAGCTTGGATGGAGAAGAGCTAGATGACCGTGATGAGGAAGAAGTCAGCACAGCAAGGACTAACGAAAATTATGAAAGTATTTGTGACACTTGCTCCAGTTATGGCTCAAAATCAAAGAAGAGATCATCATCATCTGTTCAAAAGTCGTCTAGGACCCATGGTCACTGCAGCAACCCTGAAATTAAGCACTGGGAAATGAAGAGAATGATCAGGGTACTGAGAGGGATTGTGCCTGGAGGCGGTGAGCAAATGGATTCTGTCACTGTTTTAGATGAAGCTGTGAGATACCTTAAGTCTCTCAAGGTGGAGGCTGAGAAACTTGGAGTTGCACCTTAAAAATCTTGGTTGGAAACTTCGACTGTATTCCTGTGGCAATAATCGAAATTTATCTGTCACCCTCTATGAATAGCACTCTTCCAGTCTCCTTCTTTCTTGTTCCCTGCTCATGGGAAGAAATCTTGGAAAGCAATAAATGACAGTTGGCATTTTACATATTCAGGTCATGTAAGACAAGAAAGTACATTCATGATTGTACTCTTAGTTGCTGTTTGGCATTGACTCTGTTGTTTTGCTACTGTTTTGTGTTGAGATTGAGGAATGACTGTAGTTCTTACCTCCTCTAAAATTATGGTATAATTGTTATTATCAACTTTGTTTCCCCATTTACTGTGTGAGATTAATCATTCAACGGGTCTCTTCTCATTTGCATCTGTCCTCTTTATGCCTGGTGGCCCTACCCTGTTACCCAGTTACCATGCATGGAATTTGAGTCTCACATCGTGAGTATGAGATATTAATGTGAGGTAGCTTTTGGAGAGAAGTTCTCTTAGAAGATTGATTTACTGCACAAGCATGTTCTGTTTGCGTGTAACATGTGCACTTGTGTATTTTTTTTTTTTTGGAAATTAAGAATGAGACATGCTCACATTAGTGTCTTATTGTGTTTTGAATTAGATTGTCTTCAATAAGTGGACTTCTATATAGAAATAAGAAAAATTATTAATGTTTGATTTCATATTGAAAATGATCAAAACTAAAGTTTTAAATTTTAATGGAAGTATTCTTTTAAAAAAAAACAAAAAAACAATTGATTTAGTGGTTTCTAACTTCAAATCAAACTTGCTTACGAAGAAACACTGCACTTGTTAAGATCTGTTTTTAAGAACCGATAAACTTTTGACACTTTGTTCAGTCTTTAAAGAGAGCCAGTATTTGCATGATGTTTAGTATGCTTAATTGTTTGTATTTAAGCCAATGAGGTCATAGCTTAGATTGGTCTCTGTCGAGTTGTTTAAAGGAGCTATCTCCATCTTCATAATAACACATGAACTTGACTAGAGGACTGCGAGTGAAATTATAGACATGACTTGTCTGCATATGAACATTTGACTTTGTTGTTATGTACCCAGAAGTTTAACATAACGAATCTGATATCCAATTTGAAAATTGATGATAGAAATAATTGGTTTCAGGCAAAGTGCAGATCATTGTCATGCATGCATTGTGCATCATGGTCCCCTCAATGTTGTAAATAGTCTAAGTGGAGCACCATCCGACACCTCTGCACTGAAATTGCCTTCACCTTTTTCTTTTTCTTTTTTGCCTTTTTGGAAGCTTGAATTCTTATTTTTAATGTTGCTATTTTTTTATGATCTAAATGTAAGTTAAAAATTTATAATGCTGTACTATATCATAACAATTAATATGCATTGAAATAATACCTCAATTTTGTTTATTGTAGTCTGAAGAAATTAATTTTTTTTATATGTATATAAAGGATAATTTTTCTTTTTTGTCAACTATACTATATCAGTATCACCTTGAAGTATCTAACTTGTAAATACCCTCCCTTTTCCATGTTAGGTCACCTTTGTTCACACAGTAGCACTGCTAACCATATTCAATTTTTTTCTCGGTTCATTTATAATCCACAAATCTAATCAAAAATGAAAATCAAATCAAACTTCATTTATAATTGATTTTGTCCTTTTTTTTTTTCGGGATCAAATTGAGTTGTTCAGTTTTATTCAATTTTAAATACCCCTATATCCAGATATCATGCTATTAACATCATGAACTTCTCCCTCATTTTGCTATCAATGCGCATGAACTTGACGTAAGATCCTCAGAATAGGCTGGCAAGCACCATATAGGGTTGAAACTGACTGTGCAAATAGTGATTATACAAATAAAAGCAATCATTCTCCTACCAATCCATACTTCATGGTTCCCACCGAAAAAAAAAAAAAATCGTTAAAGCCTTAATTTAAAATTTTTTATATTTTTTCATATATATCTCATAAAATATTTTACATAAATGTCTTGACGATAACAATTGAAATTTCAAAATATTTTTTTTAAAAAAAGATGAAAAATGAAGTAATGGTGTGCTCCAATTTAGATTTAAATTAAATTTTTCATTTGAATACACAAAAATTTATGAATTTAAATATAAACAATCCCTCATTTGAGTACACAAATTTAGGAACTTGAATTTGATTCAAATTAAAATCAAATAATAATTTATTTATAATTTTAAATTTTCTTTACAGTCTAATCATTTAAAATTTTAATAATTTTAAATATTTTATTCTCTTCATGTATTCATTATTAATATCTCCATTGACTCATATTTTTTTCTCATTTATTGTTGATTAAAAATATAAATAAATCCACCATTTTTAATTTTTTATTTTCATTTTAAATTTTAATTTATCTCTCTTTTAAAATTTTTTAAATTATCCATACAGAAAATTTTAAATACATGAAATTTGAATATGAGATTTAAAATACAAACTTTTAAATTTAAAATTCAAATTTAAATCTATTAATCCAAGTGCTATTCAGGAGATTAGTCAAAAAGAAAATTATAAGAATTACTCAACATTCTAAGCAAAATTTCTAGAATATGTTCTGAAAAAGTAAGCCCCACTAGATTAGAATTAATCATTTAATTGATATAGTTTGCACCAAGGCAAGATGAACAAGCTTACTTTGCCACATATTTACGCCTACATGCGCCCAGAAAGTTATAAATTTAAACAAAATCTCAATCATTAATAGCAAAAAAATCCCAGACATCCCCAAATTTGTGTAGCGGGGAATAAGTTTTATAAACTAATGTTCTGCTATTTACATTTAGAGTGTCAACACTGTGGGAAAAACAATCTCTTAGAAAGCTTACAACCACTTGCATCATTTTGGCTCTTCTCTGGTTAGGATTTACATATTCTGAAGCAATTCCAACAAACCACCCAAACGCAGGCACAATGAAGATCCACTCGTAAATGCCACGTGGCCAAAACGTGATTATATTGGACTCACTCTCAATGCCTGCATCAATGACAAAACTCAAGTGACTTTAAGTGTTTTTTTTTTTTAGTTCTTTGAAAGCAAATAACGTCAAAAGGGAAAAGAAAGATGAGAAGAAAACAGATGCACAGAGAAGCTCAGATCAACCCAATGAAGCCAATTCCCGCAAGACAGAAGACTACCATCCACTTGAGCAAAAGCTATTTTTTCTAAAATTTAGTTTATTTAATTTTCAGTTTACTAAAAATTTATTTAGTAAAAGTTCATTTGATAAAAATCAATTGTTATAATAAAATTTGTGTTCAAAGACATTTTTTCAAAAATCAGTTTGGTACACTAAAAATTGTTTAAATTATGATAATGAAATGTACTTTTGAATGTATAATTATCAAAAAAAGACATTAATTTATGATAATTTATAATTTTTATTATACAAATATAATATATTTGAAATATTTAAAAATTTGATAAAGATTTTAAATAACATAAAATTTGATCTATAACATTAAAAACTTAATCTCTAGTTATTTGTACCTTTTTAATTTGTAATTTTAAAAAATATGATAAAGATTTATAATTTTTATTATACAATAATGCTAAAAATTAACATGATTAATTATTCAATTTATAATGCTAAAAACTTGATACCTAATTATTATTATTGAAATGATAATTATATTTTTAATGAATTAACTATTTTTTAAATAAAAGAATAAGAGATTAAACTTGGGTAGCATGGTCAAATAACATCCCACTTTTTAAATTTACATTTCAAAAAGCTTCAAATAATTATATTTTCAAATCCACTTTCAGTCACTGTTTAAATATACTTTCAGGATGTGTTTTCTTGTAAAATGTTTAACTCAAACAACTTCCAGCATCCTAAAAGTGAAATTTTGCTTTTTAAATATGAAACTGAGTACCCAAATGGACCCTTAGTCATACGATACACATTGAAAGGGGGGAAAAAAAAAATCTAATTTTCACTTCATATTTGTGGTCACTAAGCCTTGTCAAATATACAAGGCAAAAGGCCCCCCCCCCCCCTCCTCCTACTGTATTATATTTGCTCGAAAGGTGATACATTCTCCATTAAGATATATGTAACACAGATGAAATGATAGCATGTCAAATAACCATGTTCCCTACTTTGAAACTTAATTGAACAGCCACACAGAAAAAGACTTTTTTCAGGAGTAGCGCATGATAACTGCTATACGAAAAGAATTTTGCGGCACTGATAGAGAGACATTAGGAAAAGTTCAAGTGTAAAGTTGAAAATTAAAAATTCTGAGAACATTAGATCTGCAAAATGCAAAATCTTAGCTTCCTTGCAGGTTTTGCAACATAATTTTCAGACTCCCAAATGTCTATACAACAACAACGAATCCACAAGAGTCAAGACAAACTATTGGAGGATGAAAATAAAATAGAAAAATAATGTCGATCATCTTTAAATTATGAATCATAGACAAAAGGATCTTAGATTCGATAAATTTAATTCTTAGCTGGCATTTTATTTGATTATTTGTTTTATTTAACTACTTAAGCTAAAAGGACCGCAAATAGGTTTATTCACAGCAGTAATTGTTTACTGCATAATGGATTAGCTTAAAGGAAAAATATAGTGACATAGGAACCTGATTCTGCATGCTTGTTGCAGTAGTCCAGCGCTGAGGATTATGAACTATAACTGGATTATCACCAACAAAAGCTAATGTGCTCGATTCTTCCCATGTGCTAGAAGCTTCTGCAGGCGGTAATTCTCTCATTACCCACAGTAACATTGCTGAAGGTATTGATGAACCTGAAAATGCGGTGCGTTGAGAGCAGTCTGTCAATACTTTAAATTACTACTGAATTACTCATGAAACCATTTGAATAAACAACTATAAGTAGCACAATATAGCCAAGTTCTTTCTTGAAGAATAAACGCAGATTCGGTTTTACAGAGAAGGCTGTTAGTGTCAACAATTTAAGCTACTACCTTTTCATTTTTGCCTGGATTTAAGCTAAATGCTAAATCACTCATGAAATGGAGTGGATAAAAAATTCCGTCAAGCATCACAACTGAGAATCAAGGAAAATATTTCAAG